CCACAGAGGAAGAGTTTGATACGAGGAAAAGATTTATTTCACATTTTTTTCTTTTTAAATATCACCAGCTTTGTTTGAGGAATCACAGACATCAAATAACAGGAAGAATCAAGAGGCTCATTTACACAGAAGGACACGAGGTTTTAGATTAAAGATTCAGATTAAACACACGGGACTGTTCGAGTTCTGTTCGAGTTCTGTTCGAGTTCTGTTCGAGTTCTGTTCGAGTTCTGTTCGAGTTCTGTTCGAGTTCTATTCGGGTTTTGAGTTTTATGGTTCAGACGGAGCGACGTCTTCATCTGATCCTGTGAGAGGACAACCAGTAGAAAAAGAGGCGAGGGGGTAAAAGTTGGAGCTAAAGTTAAGATGCAGGAGACATGAGGTCATCGCACAACAAGCAGAGACAGAGACACACTGCAAACACAACACACACACACACACACACACTAGAGATCAACAGTTTGACGAATTCAACAATCCGATCACAGGCGACGCAGTTTTTACTAAAGACTGTAAAAAGAGACAAAGATGGACGAAATGACGGCTTCCAAACGTGAAGCCAAAACCTCTGCATGCCCTACTGGTGAGAGACAGTAACTGCACGGCAAGAACGTTTTCTATAATCATTTTCTAAAGTCATTTTAAAAGGAGCAAAGAATTTTTTTTCCTCTCCGAACATTTCGTGTATTTTCTGTGCAAACGTGACTCTTCTCGTGACGCCATCGACACAAGATGGCAGCGTTTGCATCGTAGACATTTTAGCTTCAACAGGAAGTAGAGACGCGTCGTCCATCTTTCTTTACGTTGTTTACACACCTGGATTCAGACAAAACCTCTTTACACACAGTCTACGGGTACAACGCGTTAAAACCTGCGACCTGGTCGATCTGACCTCGGACCCCCAGTGCAGGCGGGACAAGAAGGGGGCGGAGCAAAGGGCAGAGAGTGTCAGAGTCACACAGGCACTTGAGAGGAAACACAAAAACACCACGACTTCTATTAAGGCACAACAGATTACACACACACACACACACACACACACATCTTTGGAGCAGTGGATTCTCTCGAACACAGAACGACAGTCGCCTTTAAAACGACGTTTCTTTGTGATTCTATCTTTTATCTTTCTTGGTTTCAGATCAGCTGATTGTGAGTCAACGTGAGACGCAGTTGAAATTTCTAACAATGTGGATAAAATGCAGTTTTTCATGTTGTAATAGTTTCAACGTTTGTTCGTCCATCTTCTCCGAAGTTCGTTTAAAATTGAAAATTAAAATTCAACCCTGACGGATTCACGGGTGGATTTTTCTTTTACTTTGTCAAAGTCTAGTTGTTGGACTCAGTTTGTGGAAGAGAAAACATCTCCAGTCACATGATCATATTCGTGTTTCTCGTTTGAAGGAAATACATTCGAATGTTTTTACTTTTCACGACATTTAGCACAGACGACCACAAACAGCAGCTCACGGCGATAAATACAGATTTAACCTGAAGAATAAAGTTGGAAATATTCTTAAACTTTTTTAAATATGTTGAAAGTCAACTAATCCCATAAAAACTGATAATGTCTCAAGTGTCTCTTTAGAAACACGTCAGCAACTAATACGATGTCAGAATATTTCTTTAAACAGCTGGAAACTGATGTTTGATGCTGCCGTCGTCAGGAACCATTTCATGGGATTCATTTAAAACAAACTACAGCGACGGTTGAACCAAACTGTGAAGGCCTCTGAGGCAGATTCCTGGTTTTATAAATAAAACTGACTCGACGCTGAGTAGAAGTGTTGGGGGGGCCCCGCTTCGTCCAATGAGGATTTAAAGAAAACCAGGAAGTGGATTTCATGGAGCTCCAACATTAAAATAAAAACAACTGCACGGGTCACTTTGGTTCACACGTCACAAATCTGCACAAATTCCACAAAGGCTTCAGTCTGACGCACTTTGAAGGGGGACGAAGTCGGGGGACGAAGTCGGGGGACAAAGTCGGGGGACGAAGTCGGGGGACGAAGTCGGGGGACGAAGTCGGGGGACGAAGTCGGGGGACAAAGTCGGGGGACGAAGTCGGGGGACGAAGTCGGGGGACGAAGTCGGGGGACGTTATGGAGGTTTTACAGCAGCACGACGAGGAGGAGGACGTGATGTCAAATAAACATCAACACAGAAAAACGGTTTTAACAGTCGTCTGAAAACACTGAACCTCTGCAGAGAGGACGAGACTGGAGTTAAACATGGAGTCACTGGTTCTGTCTGTTCATGGGACGAGTTGACAATAAAAACAATAAAATAACACAAATAATAAAAATGTCACCATCTTTAATCTCCTCTGTGGTTTTTAATTTTGGGAAACAAATGTTTAAATGTGACGCGACTGGATCCAATTAAACAACTTCAGCTGCTCGTCCAGAAGAATCAGCACCGAAAATCATCAGAGGTAAACACACACACACACACACACACACACACACACACACACACACACACACACACACACACACACACACACACACACACACACACACACACACACACACGTGATGTGATCCATGGGAATATCATTGGCAATGTGTGGAATATTAATCATATATATATTTGTCATTTGATTCAGATCTTTTTTCTTCATTAGTTTCATTATTTCAATCTTCTCTTCTTCTCTCTTTACGTTTAATCTTTAATCTGTTTCTCTCTCTCTCTCTCGTTTGTGCTCGACGGTGCACAAGCTCAAACAGTCTCTCTTCCGACCGGGCGTTTCTGAAATAACATCCTCTACCCTACGTAGGTCTCCACTCTGAACATAGACGCAGAGGAGCGTGAGCGCTTTAGCTCCGGGGGAGGAGGCCCTTCTTGTAGGCCACGAGGCCCGCTGCCGTGGCAACTGTCAGGAAGGCGGAGACTCCTGTGATCTTGAGGAGGCCGCCGACCGACGGCAGATTCCTCTCCCAGAAGGTGGTGACGATGGGCAGAGCAGGAACTTCCTGTGGGAGGGAGGAGACGAGCGTGAGCTACGTTTATCCAGGTTTTCACTTCCTGAAAATCTTTAGAATATTTCTCTCACCACACACTGAGGCTCCGGCTGCCAGATCTGACTCTGCTGGATTTTACCCATAACACACAGGACCTGCAACAGACGACAGCAGCACGAGTCGTTGACGACCGCAGATCGAAAATGTTCATTTCCACAGAAACATCATCATTTCAAAAAAGGCCGATTTGTTAAAAGCTGCCGCCAACGCCTGAGTCGATGAACCTCGAGAACTGCTGTGTCTACAAACTGTGGCGGCTTTAGGAAATTTGAATTTGAATTAACAACAAGTGGAAATGTCATAATTGAAATATTGACGTTTGGTATGAAGTTTAATTTAGTGAGTTAGTTTCACTGAACCCGTGAATATTAAACTTCTCTCCTGGTTCCTGAAGGGTTTGGAGGTGGGTGTGGCTCTCACCTCTCTGGCCGCCCTCTCTCCGGCCTGCACCGCCCCCTCCATGTAGCCGCTCCACTCTGTGGCCGTCTCCGTCCCAGCAAAGTACAACCTGCCCACCGGCTCCCTCAGCACCCTGCGGAGGACAGGAGGAGCTAGTTTGTCCCTTAGTCTCTTAGTTTTTATTGGTTTGTTTGTTTGTTTGTTTGTCTGCAGGACGGAAGGCGTGGAGGAGACTCACTTGCCGTACTGGGTGAGGATTCCTGGGGGGAAATAAGCCGTGTAGCAGCCTCCAGAATATTCCTCCTCACACCAGTTCTTCTCCTCGTAGTGAACCGGCTGAAACACACAGGACACGAGTGTTTGAACCAGTGAAGCTGAGACCGTTCACTGTGGGGCTGGTCCCCGAAGTGAGAACACGACAAACAAGTGAAAGTTAAAAACTCTGGTGAAGCAGCGACGCTCGGTGCGGACGCTCATAAAAACCAAACCAATCCCGCGGTGGTGAGTCACATGACTCTGATGCTGAGACGTGTGAGAAACGTCCAGTCTGAGGGTGAACTCACATGCAGAGCCTCCTCTGAGCCCAGCACCCTGGAGTAGATCTCACAGATCCTCTTCAGCCTGAAAACAGCAACAACAGTCTGGATTAAACGGATCCTGCAGCTCGGGACAGTTTGAATCTTCCGTCTCGTCTGCGCTGTGAGACCCACCTCTCCTCTTTGGTCAGTCCTGATAGTTTCCTGCACTTACGGGCCAGGATGAATCTGAAGGCCAAAAGAAAATGATCAGCGACGAGGCAAATACACAAACACACTGTGAACACAACACTGTCACATTATGACACGCGACACAAAACTGCATCTAGAAGAGAAACGATTCACTCTTTAATTTTATTCTGAGAATACGTTTTATTCTGTTTCTCACTGTTTGTCCTCAGCAGAGAAATCAGAAAGATTCACTCACGTCCGTCCTTCAATACTTGAAATAATAAAAGTTAATGTTGATCACAGGAAATAATATTATCAGAGTAATTTTTCACCCCATGATCGCAGGTACACTCCCATCAGGCTTTGTGTCGTCCAGCGTCAGGCCAATAGGAGCGCCCTCCTCCTCGATCACCATGCTGCCACAGTAACCTGGACACACACACACACACACACACACACACACACACACACACACACACACACACACAGTTGAGTTTTAGGACATAATCAGCTCAGAGGTCAGTGTGTTTTTAAAGATAAAGGATTAATTAGTAAATTAACATTGTTTTTTTAAGTTAATTAATAAAATCTGAAGGCTGAGAAGTGACGACACACAAACAGTCAGAGGTCAAACTTTTTTTTTGTTCCTGTGTGTTTGTCTTTTGTCGAGAAGCTGTGAGACACTTTTGTTTTTAAGGAGTTTACAGAAAATGAATTTAAAGCCGACAGTTATGTGAAATCTTCTGTGTGATGTCACTCGACGGATGTGTTCTGTGTTTCATGACCTCAGACTTCCTTCGTACCTTTCTTCCTCCAGAAGTTCTCCTTGTAGTAAACCATGCACTTGATGACGGAGCCCATGGGGACGCGGTGGATCAGCTGGTTCCTGAGCGGCGGCAGCTCGGGGTTAAAGTGCATCTTCAGATTCAGGCCGGGAGGAGTCGCCACGATCACGTACTTGGCCTGAGGAGAGAGAGAGAGAGAGAGAG